TCAGGGAAAGCCTCTTAGGAGAGTGACATTGAGCTGAGACCGGAGAGATGAGGAGTTGGCCACATGAAGAGGAGGAGAACTTCAGGCAGAGAAAGGCCCCTGCGAAGGGCCCTGAGGCGAGAGAGGGCTCGGTTGAAAACACAGAACAGACATACAGGGGGACCGCAGGGTCCGGGCTGGGGGCAGGCAGGGCCCACATGAGGAGCGTGTGGCAGCTCGTGGTAATAAGAGTCCCGGATTTTTCCCTTTGAGGGCAAGGGAGAGCCACCAGGGGTCTGAGGAAAGTGGCGTGACCCGACCGTGCTGAGAAGGTGAGTGTGCACGGCGAGGGGCGGCGTGGAGGCAGGAGGCCTACTAGAGGGCGAGAGATGATGGCATTCGCCTACGATGGGCCGCCGCACACAGGTCATCGAACACGTTCGGGGCACGTTTTGAAAACACAACTGATGGAACCTGCCGCTAGTTAGCTGAAGGGGCAAAGAGAGGATCAGGAAGACTCCCAGGTTTCTGGCCTGAGCCACTGGGTGGAGGTGCTGCCATTTACTGCGACAGAGAAAGCCAGGGAAGAACAGTTTTCAGAGGGGATTATCAAGAGCTCCATGCTGGACGTCCCAAGATGCTCAAGACACCTCCAGGCAGAGATGTCACATAAATAGCTGGACACACAAATGTGTGGCTCAGGGGAGAGGTACAGGCTAGAGATCAAAATTCGGGAGTCACTGACATATAAAACGTATTTAAAGCGATGGAACTAGATTAAACTACCTACCCCCGATGCCTGGTAGTGACGACAACTGTCCCCGGAGAAGCAAAATTGTTTCTGGTTAAGAACCACTGATTTCGGCCGGGCGCGGTGGCTCACACCTGTAATCCTGCCACTCCGGGAGGCTGAGGCGGGAGGATTGCTTGGGCTCAGGAGTTCGAGACCAGCCTGAGCAAGAGTGAGACTCCGTCTCTACTAAAAATAGTTAAAGTTAGCCAGGTGTGGTATCATGTGCCTGTGGTCCCAGCTACTCGGGAGGCTGAGGCAGAAGGATTGCTTGAGCCCAGGAGTTTGAGGTTGCTATGAGCTAGGCTGACGCCACAGCACTCACTCTAGCCGGGGCAACAGAGCGAGACTCTGTCTCAAAAACAAAAAAGAACCACTGATTTGTAGGTAAGATGGGGAACAGAAGCCAACGAAGGAGAGTCACCAAGAACAGCCATCGAAGGAACAGGAAAACAAAAACAAAAAGCGCGTGGCATGATGGAGAGCAGGACTGCTCAGAGAGCAGCCAACTGGATCAAGGGCTCCCAGGGGGACTGGGGAGGAGGAGGCTGGGGAAACATCCAGCCTGGAGCTGGCTGGTGGTCCTGAGAGAAGTCTCACTGCAGGGGTGTCCGGAAGCCAGGCTGAAACAGGAGGCAGTGGGGGCGGCTCTGCCTACAGGAAGCGGGACGGGCTCAAGCTGCAGAGGACAGGGAGCCAAGGGGTATGACTTTCTTTTTCAGGGAGTGTAAGTCTGTAGTAGCAGCAGGAGTTGTGCTCAGCGCGGGAAAGACTGACGATGCGAGAGAGGGAATGACCTCGACGGGCGAAGTCGAGCCCGTCGGGGATGGTACCCGAGCTGGTGTTTATAGATCTGGGGGTGGGAAGCTGAGGATACGCCCTTCAGTGGCTTCTGTTTTCATAACTTATGAAGACAAGGGGTGGCAGTGGCAGGAGGGTGGCTATTTGAAGAAGTATCTGTCCCAGAGAACAGAACAAAAACTTACTAAGGGAGCAGAGTAGGGCTGAGTCTGTGGCCACGTGCGTTCCAGGTGTGCGGCCGCGGGCTTCTCTCTCGCTCCGGGGCAGCTGCCCAAGTGCAGATGCGCAGCTGGGTTCAGCCAGGTTGGGCTGCTGCAGCCAGGCCTGATGGAGACAGACACGCGGGGGCTGTTCCAAGTGTTTGCAAAACAGTGGCGAGACAGAAGCCCGGGGAGTCGCCGCTGGGTGAGCTGGGAGTGAAGACAGGAGGGGACGCGAGACAGCAGAAAGGCAGGGGGACCGCACGCTGAGGTCTCAGCGAGACTGAGGAGTCGCTGGAGCAGGAGAGCAAGGAGAGAGGTGGGATCGGACGGGACGTCGGAACTCGGCCAGAGAAATTCCTGCTGGAAGACCCGTGCCTTCCGCTCGCAGCGCCAGAGCGAGGAGCGGAGGCCGAACGGAGGGCAGCTTTCAGGTAAGTGACTGTGTTCGGGACAAGAAGTCCGTGCCAGAACCTGCGGGCACGGGCTTCCCACAGGAACAAGACAGACGACGCTCCTGACCAACCGACACCAAACACTCGAGCACTCAGAATGTTCTGCCCTGAGGGCAAGTTTCAGCCCAAGGAAAAAATCAAACAAAAATCAATGTAACGTAACAGCATTTTAGTCACATTCCACTTTAATAAAGAAAATTCCATTATTCTGATTTATTGCCCACAATATTAAATTCCGTATTTGGATGGGCATGATTTGTAGAGGTTCCTTAAGATTAAATCTATCCTCAAATAACAATGGTTTCAAAAACACACCCTTCCAGGTGGAAAGCAATTCCAACAAAAAATTCCGCAAAGGCCCTGAGCGGCCGCGGCAGCACGGACACAGCGAGCAGCCCCTCGAGGTCTCCCCTTTGAAGGAGACAGAAATGAACTGGCCACATGTCCTCTTCTCTACCTCCACCCTTCCCTGGTGATTGTTTTCACAGTCCAAACGCTTTCAATGCCCCATAAATGATGACAAGTCCCATATCTGTACTCCCCTTCCAGACCTCACCCCAAATGCTGGACACGTGCGTGGAGGAAATGCTCAGGTCTCCAGCTGGACAGGCGAGTGGGATGAACACGTTCGCCTCGGATGCACGGACTCTCTTCGTTTCCACCTTCCCTGTCTCAGGTAATGATGACTCTATTCTTCCTGTTGCCCAGGACAAGAACCTTGTAGTCACCCTCTCTTTCCCCTACACCCACATCCAATCCATCAGGAAATCTAATTGGCAATCCCTTTAAAATACACCCAGAATCCGCTGATTTCTCACTGCCTTTGCTGCTAACACCCTTGTCAAGCCGTGACCATCTCTCACCTGGGAAGGCGTGGCCAACCTTCCACCCTTCCCCTACTCTCCAGATGGCAACCAAGATAATCCCATTAAAATGTGCATTCCACTGCCATTAATAAAATTTTTCCAATGCTTCCAACATGATCTGGCTCCACATGACCCTTCTCTGACCTCTTGTCATGATCTCTCTTTTTCTCCTCCTGATGGCTAGTCTCACTGGCTTCCTTCTTGGTCCTCAAACAATCAGGCATCTCCCATCCTGGGGCCTGCTCATACTCCTCTTTCTTACTGGAACACTTTTTCCCCAAATACCCACACTATCCTCCTGATCTCACGTCATCCTGGCCAGAGTCCTCCCCATCCACCCAGAGGAACAAGCCCGTCACTCACTTTCCTGGCCCTGCTTTGTCTTCATAGCACATGTCACTAACACGACGTTACATATTTGTTTCTTGTTTTCTTTCGTGTCTCATTCCCAGACTAAAAAGCAAGTTTCACCAAGACAGACAGGGTCTTTGATTTGTTAACTGCTGCACGCACCGCACCTACGATGAACAAATGAATTGTTAAAAGAAACAGTTACCTTGTTTTATGGTTTTACTTTATATGAATTCCCTTCCCTTCTCCCTGTCTAACTGGCTCCTTCCTTTAAGATCTCTCCTTCCCACAGTCATGGAGGAAGCAGCCATGGTGTCCTAAACTCCCAAAGCAAAAGCCGGCAGAGGATCAGGCTGAAGCCCTATGGGTGCATTTCCCATTCTCTCCCTGCCTTTTGTCAATTTTCAGTACATCCTCACAAAGAAAATGTCTTTGTTCAACAATCTGTAACTGGCATCTAGAGTCACTGACCCTTTGTTAGGTCAGTAGGCATCAGTTACCATAGAAATAATGACCACACAAAATTGGCCCTGGTTGCCAATGAGACAAGGGCTCTTGGAGTTTCTATTTGAGAATTGTGAAAAATGTGTTATATACACACAATGGAATATACTATTCAGCCATAAAAAAGAATGACATCCTGTCATTCACAGCCACACAGAACTGGAGGACGTAGTGGGAAGTGAAATAAACGAAGAACAGAAAGTTAAACATCACATGTTCTCACTCATATGCAGAAGCTAAAAAAAGTTGATCTCACAGAAGTAAAAAGTAGAACAGAGGATACTAGAGGCAGGGAAGGGTAGGGGAAAGGGGGGATAGGGAGAGATTTGTTAAAGGACACAAAATTACAGCTAGATAGGAGGAGCAAGTAGTGTTTTACAGCACTGTAGGGTGACTACAGTTAACAATAATATATTAGATAGTTACAAACAGCTAAAAGGAGGATATTGAATGTTCCCACACCAAGAAATGATAAATGTTCAAGATGATGGATATGCTAACTACCCTGATCTGATCACTAAACATTGTATGTACCAAAACATCACTAAGTACCCATAAATATGTACAATTATGTGTCAATTAAAAATACACTTTTAAAATATCAGTATAATATCATCATAGAGTTTGAAAAACAAGAATTGTCCATAATCCCCCATAACCCTAGCACAATTCCTATCATTTTTGTATTTTCTACATAAATATGTAATTTTGCAGTTGAAGATAGTATATTATACAATTTTGTATCCTGCTTTTTTCACTTACCGTAAGATTTTCTTCATGTTGCTACAGGGGGATTCCTAACTATGCTTAACTGGCTCCAGAATATTCCATCAAGTAGTTGGACCATAATTTAACTCTTCCCCTAAAATTCTTGTTTCTAGTTTTCTACCACTACAGTACTCCTTTATGCATTTAGCTTTCTCCCTTCCTTTGGATCATTTTATTAGGATAAAGACCTAGACGTGAGATTACTGGGCCCAAGGCTAGACACACAGAGCACTGCCGCCTCCCTGGGCTGACGCTCAGCCATCAGACGTGAACCCCGACAACTCACCCTCTTCACGGCTCCTTCCCCAACACACTTCAGCTGCCTCACTTCTGTTCTCAGCTCTTTGCAAGACAGCCATGGCGAGCAGTTTTTCATCTGTCCTATTTTGAAGTAGCCATAGGGACAGTGCCCGGGGTTCCCTATGGGATGTTGGGGTGAAGTAAAGACCCGACCCAGGCAGAGGTAGAGCAGCACGTTCATGAGGGCCATGGCCAGCAGCAGCCTGACTGCCGGGGGCACCTCCCTGGGCGCCAGGCCTTTCCTGCTGTCCTGGGGCTGCTTTTCCATGGTGCTACCCTCTGTGGTTTCCTAAAACAGAAAATGAAACAAGGAGGAAGGACGAGGTCAGTTTTTATTTCTATGAAAGTGATCTGATGCCTCTTTTACTCAAGGGTCCTGTAAGCTGTGGCCTTACTGTGAAGATTAAAGCAGGGAGTGAATATTATTAGGCTTATACTAAATGCCCAACGTTAGCTGTTTCCATAATCATTATTTCTTAGCACAAACTCGAATGTGGTTCATCCAGATTAGATTAGGAAGGGAGGTGTCTGCGTCTGACTTTCTCTGTCTCACGGTAGTAGTTTGCGCAGAGTACATATACGTGAATAGTCAGTAAAATGAACGCAAAAAGTCTATCAGTCGGTCTGGTGGGGCTGGGGCAGAGGGTGGACTAAGGAGAGCAGGAGGAGCAGGCTTGTAGGGGGAGGCAGCTGAGGGCCCTTGAACCCAGCTCAGAAGCTGGCATGTTCCTTGGAAGGTAAACAAAAGCCCCTGAATGTTTCTGAGAAACAAAGGCTACGCATTAGCAGTTGTGAAAGGTGGGTTTGGGTGAAAGAGACTGAGGCTGAGAGACCAGTTAGGAGGCCCTGGACATAAGCAGGGATAAGAGCTGACAGATGCATGAGCTGGAGATGGGACAGCCAATGACCCGGAGGTGACGCTGGCAGTGAGTGACCGCTGGTACGGTACGGGCTTAGCGCTGGGCCATGCAAGGCACTGGTGGAGGCGCCTGGATGGGGAGCCTGGAGGAGAACCCTGGACGGCAGGTGTCTGGGCAGGGCCGCACCTGAACCAGAATGGAGCACATCAGTGCTCTAACAGTGGCTATGGCCAGGCCAGCGTGTGCCAGTGGAACGCCGGTGCTGGCATGCCCGGGGACACTGGCGATGGAACTGACCCCGTGCTCCTGTGCCAGACGCAACTGTGACATGAAGGGTTACCTTCCAGGAGCACCTTCCTTCTCCCAGCTCAGGCCTCCGTCCAGACGCCAGGCTCAGTCAGTGTTCTGGCCGCCCCCCGGGGGCTGGCATGGAAGCGCTCTGCCGCAGGGAGCAAGCGGGAAGTCTGTCACGCAGACTGCAGCTCTGCACACAGGCCGACTGCAACCCCACCCCGTCCACCTTTCCTGGGGCCCGCCGAGCACCGAGGTGTCCCTCAACTCTCCAGCCCCCGGGCGGAGCTGCAGCCTCGCAGAAGCCCTCTGACAGCCAGCCGCGGTCAACACGTCGGCCCCACGCTGCCCCCCAGCCTGCTCCCTCTCCTCCGTTGCCGTTTCTCAGCCGTTCAGTCATTCAACACGCACTGAGCAGCCTCTGTGTGCCAGCCCCGCACCAGGCGCTGGAAATGCAAGAGTGAAGTAAACAGACGCGGTTCCTATCCTCCTGGAGCTTAGAGGAAAATCTAGTAGGGAGGACAGACAATAAACAAGTAAACAAAAAAGGTCATCATCCGGTGATGAAGGGTTCAAGGATGGAGGGTGGCTGTAGAAAACCCCGTGGAGGAAGCATCCCGGAACACCTCTGAGAGAACGCGGCACATGTGCGGAAACCAGAGGCCTGAGAGGAGCCAGCTGTGGAAAAGTCAGGAGCAGACAGCTTGTTCATCCCTTCTCCACCAGAAAGTAAAACCTACTCACCATTCGTGGAGCTGGGACAAGACACCAGCGAGGCCAGCCAGAGTCAACAGGACACAGCGCTTCTTCCAAGAACACGCTGCAGCTGCAACGTCAGACAAGCCCCTTCTCTGAATGGTGACTACTTTCTTAGTATTGAGAAACTTTGTTCTCTACAGTCAGAGACTACCAGAAATTTTGCCTCTGGAAGTCTTATTAGTAAGAATAAAACACCCTACTCTTGCCTGGAGGAGCGAAGTCACTCTGACACAGAGAAGCAACACTGATTTCCAAACCAGGGCAGGGCTTCAGATAAAGAGCTTTGGAGATGATACTGTACATCTAGGTTAATATTTTCATCTCCAAGGAAACCGGTCCCTGGGGTCCACCTTGCAGTCCCGACTATCTCTTGGTCCCTTTACATACATATTGCTTGGCTTTGAGCCCGTCAAAACCTGGCTTCGTTTAAATTTCGCTTAAAGCCACACATCCCCCAGATTCTACCATAACTCTTTCCTTCCCTTTGATTAAAACATCCAAGTTCCACCGGTGTGCAGTCTCGCTCATGGCAACGAGTCAATAAACCAGACAGGCTCGTTCTGTGTGGCCTTAGGCTGGTGGGACCAGGTCATCCTCTCCCTTCTTCAAACGTTTTTGTTTTTTGTTTTTTGTTTTTTTTTGCGACAGGGTCCGTCCCCAAGGCTGGAGTGCAGTGGCATCATCACAGTTCACTGCAGTCTCAAACTCCTGACCTCAAGCGATCCTCTGCCACAGACTCCCAGAGTGCTGGGATTACAGGTGTGAGCCACTGCGCCCGGCTTCTTCTTCAAACTTATGCCTCCTCTTCCCCTACCTTCACTCTCAACTGATGATCTCGTTTTCTATTTTATTGAAAAAACAGAAGCAATCAGTGTTTCCAGAGTTCCCATGTACCCTCTCTCCTGTTACTGTGGAACTAGCTATGCACCCAGCTCAGGCCTGAGCACAAGACCCCTCCCCTGTCGCCTGCTGAACACCAGGGCACCGTGGCTTCCCATCTGCAGCTCTTGCCCAAGTCCTCTCTTCCCTTTTCAGCAAACCGCGCACCCGCACTATCTCCATCTCTGTCCTCTTGTTCTCTCCAACTCACGGCTCCTGCACCCAAACTAACCGTATCAAGGTCAGCACAGTGACCTAAACACAACAGCCAACACACAGTCCCAGTGTGACTAATCACTCCTTCCTCCTCAAAACATTTTCTTTACTTGGTTCCAGGAAACTGCACTCTAGCGGTTCCCCTCATCTCTCCAACCCTGCATGCTGGGGTACCCGGGGTTCAGACCTCAGGCCCCTTCACTCACTCCCTGGACAATCTCACCCAGACTCCATCTCCACCTGCTGTTGGCTCCCACAGGTGCAGCTCCAATCCCAGCCTCTCAGAACTCGAGGCTTGCTTCCTTGACATCCTCACTTGGATGTCAGATGGACCACTCAAAACTAGTATTTTTCCCTCAACAATAAAAAATCAAATAACTCAATTTAAAAATGGGCAAAGAACTTGAATAGACATTTCTCCAAAGATAAACAGAAGGCCAACAGGCACATGAGAAGATGCTCAATTTCATTAATCTCCAAGGCAAGTGCAAATCAAAAGCATAATGAGATACTATTTCATACCCACCAGGATGGCTACAGCAAAAAAAGGAGATAACAAGTGTGTGTGAGGAGGTGGAAAACTGGATCCTCACGTGTTGCTGGCGGGAATGTAAAATGCAGCCACTACGGAAAATGGCCTGGCAGGCCCTCAAAGGGTTAAACACAGAGCTATCGTACCCGCCAGCAACTCCACTGCTCAGTACATACCCAGGAGAATTGAAAACAGGTTTTCGATAAATGTCCATAGAAGCATTATCTCTAACAGCCAAAGAGCGGATGTAACCCAACGTCCAGCAACTGGTGGATGGATAAACAAAACGAGGCACATCCATAAATGTAACATTATTCAGCCAGAAAAAGGAATAAAGCATTAATTCATGCTGCAACGTGACGAACCTCAAAAACATCACAGTGAAGTAAGCGAGAAAAAAAGGTCACGTGTTATACAACTGCATTTGTATAAAATACCCAGGTTAGGCAAATTCATAGAGACAAATGGTAGATCAGCGATTGCGAGGGCCCGGGGAGGAGGGGAGGGAGAAAAGACTGCTGATGGGCCCAGGATTTCTTTTTGGATGAAAATGTTCTGGAATTGGAGAGTGGTGATGATTGCACAACCTTGTGAATACACAGAAATCACTGAACAGTACACTTTAAAATGGCAAATTTTATGGTGTGCGAATCATATCTCAGTTTGAAGGAGACACAGTTCTAGCCCTTCTCCCCATCTCTTCTCTTCACAGGGCTCGCAGTTTCAGCGGGCACATGCCTGCCCTCCCTGTTACCCAGCCAGTGAGCGGCAGGTGACGGCCAGCGCACAGACACTGCTTCCTCCCATCAGCACATTTAGAAGTAATGGACTCTTCAACAATTTGGTGCAGCTCTTCCTTCATAAAAGAAAACGCAGCGTGCTCATCCCTGCCGTCGTCAGGAGGTGGCAGTAAGCCCCGACTCGGCGGAGCTGCCAGCGCCACTTCCCTGGGTGACGCCAGGGGCTCCCACCAGCTCAGGCTGTCCAGCCGTGCCCTCCAGGCGCAGGATGGTCCTTCTTTGCCTTTCTCATATGGCTTCCGGCCACATCTTTCTCTCCGGCCCACTGCCTCCTGTCAGCTTCAGGAACTGGAACTGAAACTATGACAACTTTGCCCACTCAGGCGTCAGCCCCTTGGGTTTCTTCCACAGGAAGCTGCCCCTCACAAGGCACGCTCCCGGAAACGGAGGAACGCATGGCCTCCGCGCCTCTCACAGTAGCGAAGCGCCAGAGCGTGCCTCGGCTTGGACCTCAGGTCAGGGATCAGCAAACTTTGTTCTACCAAGGGCAGACAGTAGATACTTATGCTCACGGACCATAAGTCAAAATCGAGTGGCGACTATGTCACTGTGACTTGTGGTGACAGGCCACCTCCCACCTCTGTCAGTTACACGGTGATGTTGTCAGCATGTGCGACAGCCGTCCCAGACAACGTGTAAACAAGTGAGCATGGCTGTGCTCCAATACAAATCTACTTACGGACACTGGAATCCAAATTTCATAGTTTTCACTTATCACAAAATATTACTCTTTGCTGAACCCCCACCCCCCACTACAACATTTGGAAAGATAGAAGCATTCTTAGTTCTCAGGATATACAAAAACAGGCAGTGGGCCACAGACGGCCAAGCCCTGCCCTAGGTGATAACAGTCCTCTAGGTCTGTCGAAGGCCAATGTCATCTCCTCCACGAACACGGCTTTGGCGGCCATCTAAATGCTGATAGTTTTCAAGTCTACGCTGCAGCCCAGATCTTTCTCCTACGCTTCACCCAGCTGGCTCTTCAAGGTCTGGCGTGCCCACAGCTGAACTCAGTGTCTCCCTCCTGTCCCAATGTACCCCTCCTCCAGGGTTCCCTTTGTGATGGGCACACGATCCACTCACCCACTCAAGTCACAAACCAGGTGACTTGATTCGCCCTCCCCTAATCACTAAACCAACCAATCGCCACACAGAGTCAACTCTGCCACCCACACCTCCCACAGCAGCTCGCATCTCCCGCTCCTTGCTACCTCCCCACCGGAGCGAGCCAGCAGCACCCCTCACCTGGGCTTCTGCAACAGTTTCCTGCATGATCTCCCTCTCCTTCCTCTCCTCCAATCCATTCTCCACATAGCAACCAGGATCTTTTTTCTTCCATGAAATGTTTCAAACACAGACAAAAATAAAAAGTAGGATCCTGAACACCTATATAGCTTTGTCAAGTTACCTTACATCATATTTGTTTCAGATCTTTTTTAAAGAAACATTACACATATAGTTGAAGCCCCTTTGGACCCCTCCCAAGTAGTCATCACTGTCCTCAAACTGGTGCACATCGGAGGTTCTCAAACTGTGGTCCCTGGACCTGTAACATCAGCATCATCAGGGAACTTGGGAGAAATGCAAACTCTTAGGTCTTCACCCTTGACCTTCGCCCTAGACCCACCCCTATTACTCAATCAGAAATGAAATCTGTTTTAGTAAGTCCTCTAGGTCTGTGGTCCCCAAACCTTGGGCCTGTTAGGAACCAGGCTGCACAGCAAGAGGTGAGCAGCGGGCGAGTGAGTGAAGCTTCACCTGTACTTACAGCCGCTCCCCATCACTCGCATCACTGCCTGAGCTCCGCCTCCTGGCAGATCAGCGGGGGCATTAGGTTCTCACAGGAGCTTGAACCCTACTGTAAACTGTGCATGCCAGGGATCTAGGTTGCAGCTCCTTATGAGAACCTAATGCCTATGATCTGAGGTGGAGCTGAGGCAGTGATGCCCCACCCCTGGTCCATGGAAAAATTGTCTTCCATGAAACTGATCCCTGGTGCCAAAAAGTTGGGGACCGCTGCTCTAGGTGATCTGGATGCAAGCTAAAGTTTGAGAACTACTGGTGTATGTAATTCTCATACATGGTTTTTATTTATTTATTTATTTTTTTGAGACAGAGTCTCACTGTGTTGCCGGGGCTAGAGTGCCGTGGCGTCGTCTTAGCTCACAGCAACCTCAAACTCCTGGGCTCAAGCGATCCTCCTGCCTCAGCCTCCCGAGTAGCTGGGACTACAGGCATGCACCACCATGCCCGGCTAATTTTTTCTATGTATTTTTAGTTGTCCAATTAATTTCTTTCTATTTGGGGTCTCGCTCTTGCTCAGGCTGGTTTCAAACTCCTGAGCTCAAACAATCTGCCCGCCTCGGCCTCCCAGAGAGCTAGGATTACAGGCGTGAGTGCTTTTTATTTTTTAAGAGATGAGGCCTCATTATGTTCCCCAGGCTGGACTCAAACTCCTAGGCTCAAGTGATCTTCCCACTTCAGCCTCCCAACATGCTGGGACTATAGACCTGAGCCACCAAACCTGACTTCCCATACATGCTTTTTATTTTCACCATGAGTATGCGCCCATAAATAATAACACATAGTAGGTTATCAAGCTTTATATAAGTAGTGATATACTGGCATTGTTCTTTTGCAACTAGTTTTTTTAAAAGCTCAACATTGTTTCTGAGATTTATCCGTGTAGATGCATGAAGCTCTAGTTCACTGTTTTCAGCTGTTTGACTATTCCACCAGTAGTGAAACGAGTCCGTGCCCACTTCCCCATGCGTATGTAGAAGTTTCTCTCTGATACACACAGGGTGACCTTCCTAAAGCACAGGTGTGGTCTTCCCTTGCTTAAAACATTTAACACCCCTATCCTGCCACAGGATCAAGTCCAAACTCTTGCGAGGGACCCTGAGATCTAGCCTTCCTCAGTCCTCAAAGGCATCCTCTTGGGGATGGCCAGGCCCTGGCATAGGTGTTCCTGCTTCCTCTAGGTGACACCTAGAGTGAGTGCCAAGACTGTGAGCGCAGAGAGGACTGCCTGCCTCTCCTGTTCACCACCGTATCCCTCAAAGCCTGGCATGCAGCAGGTGCCCGCTAAGGACGCACCAGCTGCCTGATCTGAGACTTCTCCCTCTGCAGGCTCTCGGTCTCACATGCTGCTCTCTCCTGTGTTCTCACTCCCACTGGGTCTGCTCCTCCTCTTTGGGCTCATCCACCACCTCCTTCTCCAGTCTTAGTTCCCAGCCCAACCCCCATGGTTAATCCTTTCAACTGTCCTTACCCCTGCCTTGCCACTTGGGGTGGATTCAGGTTTTATGGGGCCTGAAGCTTACACTTGATGGAAGGGTAATTCTTTAAGAAAATACACCATTATAAATGTAAAATTGTACACGGTATTTGTGCAAGAGTCCAGAACTGTCATCATAAACCCACACCTGCTTGTCACTCTCCAACCACCTGCAACCTGCCCTGTCTGCCTCCCCATCTTCACTCAAAGGCTGCCAATCCCAGGTACAATATTTTGTAGGACTTTAGAAATTCATATTTTCTAATCTATTAATATGTTGGGCCCTCATCATTACTCAGCAATTGAGGCACTGTTTAAACACAAAGGATTTCTGACATTGATAGGAAAGGCTGAACAACAGAGAAAAAAATTGGGATTCACTGCTTAAAGTAAAAAAAAGAAAAGAAAAGCAATGGAACAAAATTATATACAACTAGGGAAGAAACAGATTAGTGTCATCCAACACAATTTAGAGTAGAATTCCACTTTGCCAATAACGTCTATGGTACATCGAGATGATTATTTTAAATATTCTGAATGCTTACCTAGCCTTAGGGCTCTACGTAAAGGCAAAGGATGGCAAAGACAAGATTACTAAATAAAAGGGGTAAATTTGTCTTTTTTAAAAAGAGCACCATATAAGTACACTTAGAGCACAGTCCCAGCAACAATGAGCGTACAGAATAAACGCCCAGAAAGAGCCAAGGCCTGTCACAGACGGAGTCGTCGAGTCATTTAAACGCCGGCTCCGGCACAGGGCTGGACGCTCGCCGACCAGAGCCAGCGCGGCCTCGCGGCGAGCGTCCCGGCGGACCGCAGCACAGGACCCCGGGCTGCCCGGGGCGCGGCCGCCACCACCCGGGCCTGGGCGAGGCGGCGCGGGCCGCACACAGGCCCCGCGGGAGACCGAGCTGCCCTCCGCGCACCCCCGTCCACCGGCAGCCCCGCGCCCCGCACCCCGCGCCCCGCTCGCCGGCCCCGCGCCCACCGGCTGCCCCGCGGCCCGCGCCCCCGCCCCGCGGCCCGCACGCACTCGCCCTCCTGCGCCTCCTGCGCCGGCGCCGCCGGAAACTCTCCCAGCGGGCGCCTCCTCCCGCCGCGCACGCGCAGGCCTGACGGCACGCAGAGCCCGCGCTCGGGCGCCGCCGCGTGGCCGCCGGCGTAGGGACCCCGGCTGCGGTGCTACTTTGCCGCCTTGCGGGGTCGCCTGCGCGTGGGCCTGTCACTGCCTTAGCCCGGCGCCGGGTGCCGTGGAGAGCGGCCGGAAGGCCTAGACGCAGCAAAGCGGTGGCCTCCAAGCTGCAGTCCTCAGACCGGCGGCAGCGGGGCTCCGCCCCAGCCCGGGCCGGTGACGCGGCGCCGCCGGACGCTGAGCCCCGCGAGGGGAGGCGACGGCGGGCTCGGCGCGGAGCGCAGACAGCGGAGCCGCACACGCGCGGTGGAGGGCCGGCAGGATTGGAGAAGGGGAAGGAAGCAAATTGAGGGGCCGGAACGCCTGAAGGCTCGCACTGGCGTTCGTGCTGGTGGGGAAATGAGAGGAAAGGCTGCAGCATCGCGAGGCAGGCGCAGGATTAGGTAACGGTTGGTTTGGATCAGAAGTGTTATCTACCCCTACACTGACATTTTCCAAGTTCGAAATCAAGAGAATAACACCATGTGGGTTGAAAATCTGTGCCGTACTAGTAATCCAAACAGTGAATTTTAAAATAACTACAAGCAGCTTTTGCCTATCAGATAGACAAATAGCAAGAAAAGAATGGTCACACCTACTGTTGATATCCAGAGTCTAAAAGTTTCCCCACACTCATACATGAGTGTAAGTTGGAATAACCTGTACCAATTCCTCCTATGGGCTCTAGCAAATCTCGTTTCTAGGAACTTATCCTTCGGAAATAATATGTCTGCAACATGTATGCACAAGAAATCTTGCTGAAGCGTTGTTGACAAGGGATATTTATAGTAGAAAAAAATACTAAATGTATAACAATAGGGATTTCTAAAAGAAATTGTATTTCATCCACACAGCCATTAAAAGTGATGCTGTATAATGGGTACAGAATTTCAGCTTGAGAAAACAGTTCTGGAGCTTGGGCGTGGTGGCTCACTCCTGTAATCCCAACGCTTTGGGAGGCCGAGGCAGGAGGATGGTTTGGACCCAGGAGTTCGAGACGAGCCTCGGCAACAGCAAGCCCATGTCTCTACAAAAAATTTAAAAATTAGTTGGGCGTGGTGGCACCCAGGTAGTAGTCCCAGGTACTGGGGAGGCCAAGGCAGGAGGATCACTTGAGCCCAGGAGTTTGAGGCAGTGAACTATGACGCAGCTGTACTCTATCTAGCCTGGGCAACAAAGCGAGAGCCTGTCTCAGTCCATCAATCAATGAAAAGGTCTGGAGATGGATGGGGGTGATACGGTTTGCAGAACAGTGTGAATGTACATAATACCGCTGGACTCAAAGACAGTTAAAATGGTAAATTTTATGTTATGTATATTTTACTACAATAAAAAAGTTATGGTGTAGGTCTATGTGTATTGACATGAAAGGACATTCATAATATATGGATAAGGAAGCAATCCCCTTTTTTAAATATGTATTTATAGGTATATATATATATACACACATATATATAAGTATTTTTACAGTGGTTATCTCCAAGAAATCGAATTTGGGGCAATTCCCCATTTTGCTTACATGTATTTCTTAATATGTAATAAACATGTATTACTCTCTCTATATATGTATATATGTACATGAACAGTCAGCCTAGTAGCAGTGTTAGACATGTATTATGACACGTTTTAGAGGGAGACTATTTAGGAGGATCATGAAACAAACGTATTAAACAATAATAACTTGGAAGGCAAAAGGAAAATGGGTGAGACATGAGAAACTTTCAATATGAGAACTTTGGAGGGAAAAATAATCAGGAGTTGACAATTGACTAGATATAGGAAATTAAGGAAAGAAATCAATAAAGGTAAGTGCAGTCAGTTCTGCTGTCACACATTTTAAAGATGCAAATTTGTTTCAATAGGATTGCTATATTAGGAAATAATTTGAGCATAACAGAACTCCCATTTGTCGATGTGTGATTTCATCCTGGAGAAACACCAGGGGAGCAAAGACAGCTGTAACAGCGGAGCCACACTGCACAGGAGTGCACAAAGCACGTGCACACACCCCTTGGCATCTATCAGATCTTTCGGTTTACCCTGTCACGAGCCATACCCATCCACACCTGGTGTTACAGGTCCTGTCAGACTCAGATAACCCGCCCACGCCACCTCACCATAACTCACAAGCTGCCACCCTTCCAGTGCCCACTTCCACAAGCAAGGTTCAGATCTCGTTAAAGGTCAAAGGCCATATTTATTATCATACTCATGCACTTCCTAACCACATGACGTGTAAAACTGTGCTGTCATTTTTATTAGGTTCGAATCTTTTTTTTAACTGATTATGTTTTTGAGTGTTATGTCTCTAACCCCATTTTTACCATAAACCCCATGGTTTTTATTTGTGTTTTTCCATAGCATGGTCATTCTTACCATGTTCTAGCAGAACTGACTGTACAAGGAGTTCACTGAGTTTCAGGTGGAAGAACAGTAGTACCATTCACAGAGCAGATAGAGCAGGGAGATGACATTTTGAGTTTGAAGTGGAGTGATAATCCAAGATAGTATCCACCAGGAACTGACATCTCTGGTGAGAGGACAGTAATAGAGGCGCAATGTGTAGGAATCATCTGCCTGAAAGGATAGACACTGTGACACTCTGGAAATGGATGACGTCTCCAAGAGAGAGAACATACAAAGAAAAGAAGAGAGCCAAGTCTTAGCTCTTGGAAACTTTGACTTCAGGACTAGAGGAAGTGTTAGTAGAAAACAAAGAAGCTGTGAAAGCCAACAAGGATAGGAGGAGCTGATTCCTGGTAAGCTGGCGTGAACCCATGAAAACCTTTCTCTCCCACCGAACACAACTGTAAAACCTAAACAGAATTCATGATACCGCTATTTAGAGTCTCTGAAAAGTGAGTATTTCCAGGCAGATCAAAGAACACCAGTTCTTACTGCCTCCCAAGAACTGGCCTAGCCTGAGCCAGGCAGAGAAGAGGTGGGAGCCAAGCCACAGGGACCCCTGACCCCCTGCAGCAGGAAGGGCTCAGCCAGTTGGGCAAAATAGGTGCGTGCCCACCAGGCTGGCTCCAGGATGCCCCCAGCACTTGCGCGCCTCAGCTGGCCCCAGGCTCTGAGCATGCCCAGCGCAGCAGATTTATGGTGTGCTCGCCCATTTCAGACCAATCCAGATTTGCCACCTGTGGAAAAGAATCAAGGGCAGCACTGGGAGCTGTCATTGGCATATCCCAACAGGAATGGCTCAGTGGGAACAGCCTGTCTCCATCCCAACAGAATTTCAGGGTTCTTTTTATTTTTCTTGGAAAGCAATTTATTTGTTTCTGGATCACAAAATACTGGGGAAGGAGCAGGGCGATGCCTGTAACCCCTAGTTGCACATCTTCCTAGTCTGTGCCTCTATATGTACTTTGTACAATGCCAAGCTTATACTGTCCCCTTAAGTGTCTTCTCACATTCTAGCAGCTGCGGAGTATAGTATATGAGCAGGGAGGAAGTTAAACCAGATGTCCCGTTCACAAGACAGGGCTCCCCTCCAATTATTGAAACTTAAGTAATGGGTGGTTCCAGCAATTTCCTAAAACTCTCATGAACAAGTAGGTTGATAAATTATGTCTGTATAAGTCCTAGAGTGATTTAACCTTACAGATGTTCAGTGTCTGAGGCCCTTTCTTTGTCCCCAGCTTTCTACGTCCCAGGTTGCCTGTGGTACCTGGACTGTTGCCCCTGGGTCCTCCACATCCCAGGGTGGCGATGGAGGAAGCGCAGGCCAGGCCAAGCATGAGAAATAAAGTCTTTACTGGGCTCAGACCAGGAGTCCATGGGTCTTGACGACCTCTGTGTATTTGTCAGTTTTATTCTCCACGTTCTTTTCGGACTGTTTCCGTAGCCTCATGAGCTTCTTTGTCTTCCGGTACCGGATGTCAGCCTTCTCCTTCTTCTTCTCCTCCAGGGTGGCTGCCACTGCCTGGTGCTTCCAGCCAACCTCGTGAGCCAGGCGCCCCAGGTAGGCAAACTTTCTTGTAGGCTTCAGATGCACAACCTTGAGGGCAGCAGGAACCACCATCCGCTTTTTCTTGTCATAGGGCGGTGGGATCCCATCAGCCACCTTGAGGCAGTCCAGGGCAGCCTGGCCTCGCTTAGTCTCGTGGAGCAGAATGCCTCGCACAGTGCGCCAGAAAATGTGGCTGGGGGCCCAGAAATGGTAGGGGCTACGGGAACGGTTGGTGTTCATCCACCCGCGGAGGAAGGCCAAGTACTGTAGCTTGTTTCTGTAGAAATTGCCAGAAATATTGATACCCTCACAGTGCACAACCACCACCTTCCGGCCCAGCAGTACCTGTCTGGCCACGATGGCCGCCAAGCAGCCCAGGAGATGGCCTCGGCCATCAAGCCCCAGGACGTGCCCCTCCGCCATCTTCGGCAGCCACCTGGGAAAAGCCTTCAGGGTTCTAAGAAAGGGTCGCATAGTTCTGTAATGCCATCTCCCACCCCAAAGAACGAGGGTTTGCAACCACAGTTAATCCAGACCCCAGTTTAAAAGAGTTTGAAGGAGCAACACTATGCTATGCATCTTTGAAACTCAGAAATGCCCCACATGCTGGTGATAACAATTCTTGTAGTATCAACAGTGACTCAGAAGGCCAAGTGTCTTGCTCTGAGCTCTCTGGGATGGGTAGAAATGACAGAGGAAAAGTGATCTTGCTGTCAATAACTGCATCAGGCAGCCTTCTTATTGCAAAAAGGACAGAAATGTAATCGACATTTGGGGAGGGGAAAGACACGGGCCTGATGCTGGAGAATGACGTGTTCAGCCCTGGGGACCACGTGGGCCATCCCATGCTGCACCCTCAGCCTGTCGTGAGCATTCATGTGTGGGGATTGGGCTGCAAAAATGGTCAAGATTCT